GGGGGACATTTTTGAAAGAAATTTGTTCGGAAGAAATGAGTCAGACGCCGAAAAGAGTGTTGCAACATGACCTACTTCGACCTGGAAACGGCCGCTATTCAGCATATTTCATATCCGGTCTGAGGGCCATTCCTAAGCTCGGACATGACAGAAGGATTCTGTTGTTCAGGCAAAGGCGAAGGGTGAAAAAGAAAACATAGGCTATGTGAAAACGGATACCTGGAACGTGCCACGAGGAGATTACTGATGCGATAGTTCGGTCATTTCGAATAATGATGCCCGCGGTGTCCCCCAGAATATGTTGTGCGAAGGTACAATGTCTTGCACGTGAAAATAGGTGATAGCGATAGTTAGCCATCTACCACAACCCCTCCCTTCCCTTCTCCCTTACGCACCCAAGTCCGGTGTATGGAGACAGAGTCACAGAGGCGTGATCGGGCACGCGGTAGCTAGTAAAGCTAAATATTCCATCTGTGCGTACAAAAAGTAGAGGGGAACTGCTTTGTCCCGAGGGGTAGACCGATTTATTCGATTAGTCGGCAAACTTCCAAATTATGGCCTTAAGGCATACCATGATAGATTCAAGTGCACCTGATTGTTTAATCTGAATCGAAATGGTCTCTGTCGCTTAACTCTACGCGCACCACACACGACCCGCTCCTTGCAAAATCTACCAGATATTCAAAAAGAGCGGCTTGGATCCCAAGTGGGTGAGGAAGAGAGAGAAAACGCTGCAAAGGTCACATTAAGGAGCCATTGAGCTTGACTCCCAACCCTCGAGGAGGCAGTCACGTACAAGGAGCTAGAAGCTCGTTCGGTTGGTAGAGAAGAATGCAAAGAGAATGCCTGCCCACGCCTATATTCTTCAATATCACAAGACAACCAGCTCGTGGCTCAATGGTTGGGGCATTCGGCTCCGATCAAAAAGGTCAGGAGTTCGAGGCTCGGGTGTTGCACCACTTGAGTCTGGGTATGACTGGCTGACGACGGCTAATAAACCAGAAACAGCCATTCCAGTTTCCCTTGTCTTTGCTGGCCATACTATTTGCCTATACTGCCAGTTCTTACAGCAGCTAGGCTCTCTGGCGAGGCTCAAGACAGAGCGGGACAGATGAGTATCGTTAGCGGTCAGGTGAACGTTCATTAACGAGTGTCAATATCCCCTTGCCCGAACCGACTAGAGAGCGAGCTCATGGCTCAATGGTTAGGGCGTTTGACTCTGCTCAAAAAGTCGCGAGTTCGAGTCTGGCTGACTGATGACGACTAATGAGCCAAAAATAACCATTCCAGTCTCCCCTGCTTTGCCGGCAGTACTATCTGCCTACTTCATTTTTTACGGTACAACTGTCACCGTCCATCCAGGTAAAAGAAGTCACGTCGATAGCACGTGCCCGCCCCTGCTTCAGCACGTCGGAACTGCCACAAACGAACCCCCCTCCACGAAATGCAGACTGATGAGCCAGGTTGTAGTGCGTCGGACACCTATACCGAATCCCTGCTGGGAATTGCACGGAGAGTAGGTTGACAGACAGCAATTCCCCAAAAAGTGATGGTTTCAGCTACTAGCATAGTTCAACTTGCTTCAAGTGACCTGAAAAAATGTTCCTTTGACGATAAAAAGCCCTTATGGCAACGCACCATGACGCGTGCGCACGCGCGACAGAAGAGACGAAATTTACAGACCTGAGGCATAGTTCGACGTGCGTCCAGCGCACACACGCATAATTTACCTGCACCTTCGTACCATGCCACTTGAATGTCGCAAATCCCCCCCCCTCGACCGCTTTCCCTCGCCCAATGATCCCCAAAATACAGATCGCAATGTCTTGAAACAAAACGATCATTTGCAAAAAAGGCAGCTAATAGGTGAAGGTGAATTCGGCACACACACAGGAAATTAGACCACAGGTTCACGTGCACCTAAAGGAGCGTTCATAACAAGGTCTGTTTGTTCGACAGCTTTTGTGGACACAGCAGGGAAGACATTAGGGTCAGCAAGCGGCCGGCGATGGGGAAAGGGATAGATGAAGTTACATTATGGCAGCCCAGTTAACATGTAAATGGAAGAGAGAAGTAGAGCCAAGGATCCAACCACCTGGAGTCACGAGACCCCGATCGAAGAACGCAAACTCTGCACGTAGACAAAGTAACTAAACCTAACAAAACACCAATTAGACTGATTCGCTAAAAAAGATTAATAAATTTACCCCCCTCCCCTTTTCCTCCATGAGCGCGAGATTTGGACACTGCAAGTTTCATGAACAAGTCGAAAAGGCGGTCTGCGTTGCAATTTTTTGAGAATATTTACCTCAACGAAAATATATATTTCCATGCTCCACCTTGTATCCCATGAATGGACCCCTAGCGCCCACAGGAAACGACTATGTCCGCCGTGTGTCCCACAGCAGAGTGGGTACCGAGACAATGACTTCCACGGCATCTACTGCACGCTCTCCTCCCTCCCTGCCTCACCCATCTGATCCATCTGGTGTGTCAAAGCAGAGTCAGGAAGATCGGTGGCCGGGTTGGTTGGTTGGTAGCCCATGTTGGATCAGGG